GGCTGCGGCGGCGGCGACGACCTAGGCTAACACCGCAGGCTGTTACTACAAGATAATACCACAAGCGCTCGGCGGAGCCAGGCCTGTAGGTCAACACAACAAGCAAATACCACAAGCTCGGTGTCATACCACAGGCTATGGATACCTCAAGCTCACCAGCATACCGCCAACGAAAAAAACACTGAAACACTGGCTAAAGCCACCTGCTCATGTCGCCCTGCGGAACGAGGCCCGCAGGCCAATACAACCGACTTGGGTGGAATATCTCAGGCTGGTACCGCGGGCGAATACCACGAATGCCATAGGCGCTAGGCGGAGCCACGCCCGTAGGCTCATACGACACGCTTTTGTTCCAAGCTCGGCGGAATACCACAGGCTATTACCACAGGCTAATTACAACTCCGCGACATCAGACCCGCGGGCTACCACCACAAGCTCGGCTAATACCCTTGGCGGGCACTTTCTTGGCAGGGGGGTGAGGACGACGACGACGCAGACGACGACGACAACGACGACGACGACGACGACGACGGGCCCCGGGATATCCCCCCTGGGTCCCGGGACCCCCCCCCCGCGGCCCCTCGACCCCACCCCGCGGTCCCTCGACCCCCTGGAACGACGACGTCGACGACGACGACGACGGGTTCCGGGGCCCCCCCGGCTCCCAGGACGACGACGACGACGAGGAGCACGGCGCCGCCGGCGACGACGACGACGACGACGATTTTGTTTTGCCCGCGAGCAATCCAGCTGTCATGAGACGGGCGCAGAGAGCGACCGAGCATTGCACGGCGACAGCGCGGCCGTGAAAACACTGCGTGCAGGGAGACCTGCACGGCATCAAAACGCGGGGGGGTTTTGACGCAGGGCCAGAGGGGCATAAAAGCCCGAAAACCCAAGTGGCAGGCGGCCCAAAGGGGAGACGCATGCACAGAGACCTGGCGACCTCGCGGCCCAGAGGGCCGAGGTCGAAAAACAGATGAGTCCGAGCCAGAGTCCGAGCACTCACGACGACGACGACGACGTCGACGACGACGACGACGGCTTCCTGCCGAGATTTATAAGGGGCCCCGTCGGGCCGCAGTTTACCGGGACTCTGCGTACTCCTGCCCTTTACGCTCAGCGCAACGCGTCTGCGCTGCACACTGGGATCCACCGTCGCGATGACCGCCAGCCGCTTTCTCACATTAAGGCCCGACTTGGCCAGCTGGCGCAGAAAACTCGCGGAGGGGAGCCGAACCAGCGGCTGGCCGCCACGGGCGCTGCAAAGCAACATGGCCTGGTAGCCGCGCGCGCGCCCCCCTGGCAGACCAGCCTCGGACGAACCGGCAACTGGCTGCCAGGGGCGCGGCGGAACTAGAGGGAGACCGAGCCGGCGCGCGCGCGGCCCCCAGCAGACCAGCCTCGGACGAACCGGCAACTGGCTGCCAAGGGCGCGGCGGAATGAAAAAGAAACCGAGCCGGCGCACGCGCGGCCCCCGGGAACTCAGGAAGCCGCCTCCGAATGATCTGCAGACTGGAAAGCCTTTGGCGGGCGATACTCGCTCACTGCCAACTCTTCTGCGCTCTTGCGCTTGCTGCGTTTCATAGGCATGCTCATGGACTTCGGCGGAGGGAGCTCGCGGATCGCCCTCTCATACTGACTGAGGACCTCGAAGACCCGCCCAAGCACGCAGCCGACTGTATCCACTGGCACGCAATTGCCGCACGCCCTCATGACATGGGATTTGGGAAGGTCGGAAATGCAGCCTGCGTACTTCATGCCCGAGAGCTGCACGCGCTCCTGGATCGTCAGCCAACGGCCGGGATACTCAACGTATGGCGGGTTGTTTCCCAAAATCCAAATAGCTGCGTTGCTGCGCGTGAACGTGGGCGCTACGTCGAAATAAATGTTTTGCCTGAAGCTGCCTCCGTCCCTTCGCGACGAATCAACGAAACCGATGGCGTCGAGAATGTCCTCGGCGGGAGTTCAAAGGGCCCACTGGAGGAGGGGGGCGGGGCGGATAAGGGGGGCCGAGGAATGGGCGATGACCAGGAGGATGATCAGGGAAGATGGGAAACATGCGACGACTGGGCGGGAGGCAGGGCCAAGATTCACCCCAAGCGAGCGCCGCCCCGTCCTTGTCCTGGATAGCCCTGTCAAATTTGAGCCATGCGTCATTGATGTTCTTCCGCTGAATGTCGGTCAGGGACTCAAGCACATCGACGCGGCCGTCAGCGCGCAGGAACTCCTGGAGCTTGGGGCCGGGCGCAGTGATCCAAGGAGCGCTGGGGAACAGGCCGTTGGGCATGGCGTCTACGAGGTCATGGCGAATCGCGATGAAGTACACGCGAGGCCTGTTCTGCGGTAAACATAAGAACCGTGAGTTGACCCTCCAGACCGCGAAACGAAACTCTGGGAGGTGGTGCTTGAACCACTGCTTGATGCTTGTGATCGCTGCCACGGGCTGGTGCTTATACTTGCTGAGCCACCCTTCAACGTTCTCCAGGACAGCAATCTTCAAGTGGCCAGACTCGGCGCTCTTGCGGATGGCGCGAAGGACTGAGCCCAAAACGCAAGCCCGGCCATCATCCATTCCCATATGTAGGCCCACCGCGCTCCATGGAGGACAAGGTGGCCCAGAAATGATCACCTCGTTATCGTCTTGAAACTCGTTGCCAATGACGTCGCCCCTCAAGGGGCCCGCGTGCAAGCGCTCATCAGGGGTGCCCAAGTAAGCGTGCAGCTCCTTCAGAATCTCGCTAATCTTGGGGTTGATCTCTACGACGTCCTCTGAATCTAATGCGCCCCGGATGCGTTGGCAGGGGGCGGGCAAGGGGAGAAGGCGGGGAAAGTGGGGGATTATGAGGGGCAGGAGTAATTGCATGCGGCGGGGGCGGATGAAGAAGAGGAAGAGGTCGCGAGATGCCGTGATCGGTAATGCGAGGAGGAGGCGGAGAGAGAAGAGGGCGCCCAAGACACCCCAAAAAGCCCCGGGCACCACGGAACCCCCAGGGTACCCAGGACATGCAAGACACCCGCGACATCCAATGCACCCCTGACGCCTGATGCACCGGGAGCCCCCAAGATAATCCCAGACACCCCGCGCACTCTCGCGCCCCAGACACCCGTGATAAACTTGATGCTCCAGACACCCCAGACCCCACTGACACCGAAGGCACCCAGGACAGCCAAGACACCCATGGCACCCGGGACACCCCAGACACCCCAGACACCTGCGACCACAGACGGATTTTGGCGCATCGGCAAAAGTGGAATTTCTGGACGGCGGATAGGGCCTCCTCATCGACCTCCTCCTCTCCGCCGCCTCCTCCTCTAACGTCATCCTCGTATTTGTGTTGCCCAGGGCTTTCCTGCGGCGTGCACTTCCACCCGGCTTCCGCGATCGCTCTCTCTGGGTTCCCAATTCCAGCGCATGGGAACCCGATCCTCACGCTCTTCTCGGGGGCGTAGAATTGCTCGCTGGCGCGGAGGTGCTTCACAAAGTGACGTTCCCGTTCGGCGCGACGGGGGTCGAAGAGCATCGAGCAGGAGGCCGGCATAGCGCGCCGGCTGCTCCGCGGCAGAGGGCGCGCGTAGATAGGAGACGGCTGGGAGGTCAATCGAGCCCAGGAGGGGAATGAGGGCGCGGGCGAAGCCGAGCATCATGAGGCAAGGGGGGCTCGAACGCGGCAGAGCATAATGAGGAGCACCTGGGGCGGAAGGCAAACCCCTGACCCCTCGGCCCCTCCGGCCAGACTCGCCCCAGCTCCGTCCCAGCTCCGGCCAGGCCCCTGGCATGCTCCGACCGGGGTCTGCCGCGGACGACGTCGAGGGCCCCGGGGCCGACCGCGGGACATGCAAAGACCTCTGGCGGCGGATGAGGCCGGGGGCCCCGCGGGGGGCCGCCGAAAACGACGATGACGCGGGTGCAAAAAAACAACAGGTCCGACGTGTCCGCATGCGTGGGGCATGTAAAGACCTCTGGCGCGAAGCCCGCGCGCGGGAGCGGCAACGGCAAAAAACAACAGACGTCGTCTGTTGTTTTTTGCCGTTGCCGCTCCCGCGCGCGGGCTTCGCGCCACGCACTCGAGCGCGCGGCGAGGTTGGGCCGGGGGGAGGGGGCGATGGACAGGGAAGAGGGCGATGGACAGGGGGGAGGCAGAGGCGGGCGAGGGGGAGCAGTAGCGGCGGCGCGGGCAGCTGGAACAAATGACTCGGGGCCCGCGGGCACGGGCAGAGTCAGCGTTGCGCCGCGAACGGGCGCTCTGGGTTCAATGCAATATCAAACGGCATGCATTGTGCCTGCGCGCTCCCTGCGCGATCACCGCGAGCCACCTTCCCAGATAAAAAGCCAGATTTGGCAAGCCGGCGCCAACGGCGCAAGGGACACGCAGCACGTGCTCCGCACGCGCGCGGGCGGCCCCTGGCGCGAATTCCCATATTGGGGCGCGTGGATTTTGAATTGCTCCACGGGCCCCTGCGGGGATGAGCATGCAGCAAGCGAAATGTAGCATGGGGCGCCGCGCGCCCATGCTCCTGGCCCCGGGGAGACTGGCGGGGCCGATCTCAAAAAATAGCACGTCGAACGCGAGCGGGGCCAACGGCGCGCGACAACATGCGCGCGGGCCCAGGCGCCAATGCACGGCGCGGGGGCGGTAGCGCGCGAGCGGCCCCTGCAAATGATTTCCAGTACATCCCAAGCCCCCCTCCCCGCGGCCCGCGCGGACAGCCTCGGACGGACCGGCAACCGGCGCGCGGTGCAGGAGAGGGGGAGTGGCCTGGGACCGTGTATCGGTAGCCCTACCGAGCAGGCGATGGACGTCGCGGTCGTTCCTCGCGACCGCGCGCGCGCCTGTTGGTGGGGGGGGCGCGGCGGCGAACCGCGGCCGGTCCCGCGCTGCTGGCCTCGGGCGAACCGGCAACCAGCGGCGCGGGCGCGCCCCTCCGCGAGTCGGCACTGCTGCCGCGCCAGCCCCGGGCGAAGTGGCAACCGCCGGCAACTGCAGCCCAGGGTGCCTCAGCGGAACGGGTCGAAGATGGCGCTCAAGTGGCCGTCGCCCTCGGACTGCACGAGCCGGGCGCAGTCCGCGAAGTATGCCAGACGCTGCTGCAGCAAAGGGTCCCCCCAGCACCAGCTGGGCAAAGACCCGCTCGCGAAGTGCCGGTGGTTGTGCCGCAAATACGCGAGGCCAACCAACACCCGGAACCACCTCTCCGAAATGCAAGCCGCCTTGGCCGGCATCGTGTGTTTCAGGCTCGCCCACCAGCGTTCCACGGCAACGGTGCCGGTCTGCAGCGGGACGCCAGCATCGGCGATCGCCAGCGCAGCGTCGCGCCACTTCCACAAGCCTTCGAGGCGCAGGGGTTTGAGCAGGCGGTCGTAGTGGGCCTGCACGGACATGGTCAAGGCCGAGCGCTTGCCGTGGAGGCGCGAGGCGGCCTGAAGGCGCCTGCAGATGCCGCGCATCGCCCGGCACGTTTTGCGCCCGGGCGCGTACCACTTGAGGCGCGTCCGGATGGCATTCTTGAAACACGCCAGCGTCTCGAAGCCGTGGTATCCCAGCGTGTCGTGCGCATGCACCCCGAACGCTGCGCACAGTCGAAGAACGGCGCCCCGCGTCGGCGACGCGCCGAAAATGGTGCGCCACGTGGGCTCCTGGTCCACCCGCGGCTGCTTCAAGCATGCTGCAACCGCGTCCGCAGAAGCAGGGTTCTCCCTGATTGCCGCTGCAGTCTGTTCCTGGCGCGAGCTAGCGCGGGCCGTGGCGACCGGGGCGGCGAGGGCGCCCCGCCGGGGAATTGCGGGTTGACGGGGCGCGCTCGCTGCCACGGCGCCGTCGCCCCGGGCCAGGTCGATCCTTGGTGTTTTCCACCGCCTTGCGCAGCATCTCATGGTGCTCCACTGCCAGCGGCTGCGCAGCCGGTTCCCCTGCGCCCACGTCGGGCGGGCCGGCAACTGGTGCGGAGGGCAGCTGTTCTGCGGGCACCAGGGCAGCGGCAGCGGGGCGTCGCGGCGGCAGCGACAAGCGGTTCAGCATGTCCTCGCGGCGCTGGTCGGGCAGTCGAGGGGGGGGGGGGGGGCGGCGGGGGAGGGGGGGGAGTTGCCAGCAGTCCCGCGGAAACCTGAGTGATGCCCTCTCCCCCCCTGCCCCAATGAAAATTACCATGGCGGAAAAAAAACAAGCAACTGTGAGTGCCGCGATGCAATTGGGGCGAAGGATCGGGAGCTCAACGCGGGGTCACGAAATTTGTGACGGGCGCGCATTCCTGGGCGGGGCAGCGCCACGCGGACCCTGCCGCTGGGGCTTTTCGGCGGGGCGCCCTGTCGGGCAACGATCCGCGTGCGGGGCATGCCGATATGCGCGGGGCAACGCCCTGCTGGCGCTGCCACTGGGGCCTGCGGTGGACCTCCCCAGGGGGCAACGAGGCGCGCAAGGGGCTTGCCATTGGCGCGGTCACGCATGCGCACCCTGCCCCTGGGGCCACAGGCGGAGCTCTCTATGGAGCCACGAAGCGCGCGAGGGGAGTGGGAGAATTGGCGCGGTCGCGCATGCGAGCCCTGCCGCTGGGACCAGAGGTGGAGCTCCTTATGGGGCGCCAGAGTGGGGCGGTGAATGCGCGGGAACGCGGCCACCGGGACCCTGGGCGGAACTCCTTGTGGGAAGGATTGTTTTGCCATTTCCGCCTATATGTCCACTGAAGAGTGAATGTCTGCCTTGTGGGGGGATGCTGTTGATGATGATGGCGATGACGACGATGGCGACGACGGCAGGGATGGCCATAACAAGCGTGACGATGATGACGACGATGATGACGATGCTGGCGCTGACGACGACGCCGATGACGATGGCGATGCGGAGGGCAGAAGCGGGGGGTGGGAATGGGAGGGGGGGAGAAGGGAGGAGGGGGAAATGGGGCGACGTTTACTCAGAGCGAGGACCCCACGCTGCAGGATGGTTGGGGCATGCCCGCGTTGGACTCGGGTTGACCCGAAAAGCAATCGGAAGTCCTTGTGGTCGTAGCACATATTCCGCGCGTCTGGCGAGGCCGCGCTGATGAGCCGCATGACAGCCAGCGTGTCGTGCAGCGGATCGCCTGTCACTGTGGTCGGAGAACCGGCGAAGCGCGTCCGAGCGCCCGTCGTGTCGCCCCTCGGCGTCGGGGCCCCTGCCGCCGCGTCGGCGTCGAGCTCCGGGTACATCCTTCTGTAGAAAGCATTCAGCTGCAACCGCTGCCTTCCGTAGACGTCCGTGGCGTGCACTGCCGGAGCCGAGTCCACTAGGCTGAGACCTGCCTCCAGCCGGTCCTGCTTGAAGCTGCCCACCAGAGGGCCCAGGTCCTGCAGTACATCCTTCACGTCCTCTGACCTTGAAGGCGTCGGCGGCTGGTAGAGCGCCCCGTCCACGGTCACCCAGGCCAGCAGGACCGTGTACGGGCGATCTCTCCCACCGTCGCCCTCCACGGCGACCTTCCGGGCCTGCTCGTAATTGCCGTCGCCCCTGATGACGGCGCCCGAGTACACGTTGATGTGTTTCTGCATGTGGCGGGTCGCCTCGGCCAGGTAGCCCTCGAGCGCCGTCAACAAGATTTGCTTGAGGCCCGGCGCCGTGGGAATGGCTCGCAAGTACGAGAGGACTCGCCCGGCCGCTCGGAGCCCTGCAGCGCCAGCGCAGTATTGCTCCACTAAAGCGCGGCGAGTCTGCCGAAGACAAAGTCTATCGTGGAAGAGCTGGACGAGGTGCAACAAGAACTGCTTGGTCATGAACACCGACCCTTGCTTCTCCAAGCGCAAGTGGAGCACGCCCGGCACAGCGGCCACCACGTCGCTGACGTCCGTGGCGAAATAACGGTTCGGAAGACCAGCCGCCGCGCATGTGCGGCAGCGTCTCCGCCTCGCGTCGAACTGCCGGGGCAAAGGCAAGGCCAGCACCCAGAAGCACTTGTGGTCCTCGCTGCTAATCGCTGCGTGGTGCGGCACGCCAAGCGCCTCCTGCTCTGCCAAATGCTTCTGCAACCCTGCGCGAGGCGATCTGCTCACCGCCGCGCTCCCGCGCCCCCCCGCGCCGATCTGCCCGCGCCCTCGGAGTCGGCATCGCCGCGGCCTCTCGGCGGCGGCGAGGCCATCTCCGAAGCGGCGGCCAAGCGCCGCGCGGCCCGCGGCGGACTCGCTGGGCGACCGGCCCCAGACGAACTGGCAACCGGCGCGCCACGGCGCGCGACTCTGCCATGGACCGCGGGCGCTTCTCGCCTGACGCAGTAAGATCAATCGCGCGGCATCGGCGCGGGCAAAGGCGGAGGGACTGGGAGTGGGCACATCCCCCCGCGTCCCGCGGGAATGATTTCACCGACGCTGTGGTCCACGTGGCAGCTGCCATCGCACGGCAACTCCATGTCCCCGCCGGCCCACGCCTGCGCGGCCTGGCGAGTCTGGCGCAGGTCGTCTGCTTTCGGCTCTGGCAAGGCGCATCGCGACTCCCGCACATCCTCGAACAGAATGCTCGCCCCGCGTCGATCAGCGACCCCGGTGGCGACTGCGCAGTGGAGGCCGACGTCGACGAGATGGCTTGCGGGGCACGTGGTGGCGTGACTGTACGATGCCTTCAGGAGATCGCGGCCGCCGTCGCGGCACGCCACCAGCGGGGCGATGTCCGCGAGCGGCTTCCCCCGGCGGGTGAATACGCCCAGGATGAACGCGAGCTGCCCTCTGCTGATTGCGAAAAGGCCCCCGCGCGGCCGCGGCGGATCCGCGGTGCCGAAGACGACTGGCTCGTGGAGGAAATGCATGCCCATCAAATGCACCAGCCGTGACAACGTCCTCCCTGCCGCCACGCGCTGCGCCAGGGAACGCCTCTCGACGCCTCGGCCGGTGGGCGCGTCAGGAGCGACCAGCGACGCGGGGGCCTTGGCCGCGCTCTCCTCGGGCGCCGGCGGTCCTGGCTGCATCCGGCTCTGTCCGCGCCGGGTGCACAAGGCCTTGGCGCTCCTCGTGACCCCGGCGTCGCTGCGCCGCTTGGCGGGGAGCCTGCGGGGCCAGGGCGCGCCGACAGCGGCGGCCCTTCGAGGCCTTGACGTCGCCCTCGCGTCGGCCAGCTCAGGCGCGAACGGCGGGAAGACGTGGTGGGTCGCCTGCGCCAGGGCCTCGGTCAACGACCCCTGCTTACCCGGGTCGTGGATGTACCTGGCGGAAGGCTGCAATGGCCCCGGCCCCGAGGTCCCCGTCTGAAGCGACCCTCCCCGGTCAGAAAGTTTTTCCTCTGATCGATCCGGCAATTGCCCCTGGGGGCGAATCTGGGGGGCTGGCGTTCGTCGCGCAAGCCGCGGGCGCCACGCGCTCTGCTGGCCCTTCACTCCTTGGATCGGGGACTGAAGCTCGTGGGATTCCAGGATCACGTGGGCCTTTGGCCACTCTGCGAATGCCCAAGGGGTCTCCAAGGCGCTGGCGTCGACGACCTTGCCGACCAAAACCGCCCCGTGCACGCTGGACCGGGGCAGCGCGTCGGCCTCTGGCGCCCCCGGCCACGTCGCCTCCATGGCGATGGTGCACTTGTCTGCCATTGCTGGCTGGAGGGGCCTCTTGCCCACGTGCAGGTAATACCATCCGACTGGCATGCAGTTCGATGTCTCGGGCTTGGACTCGATTCGCTTGAAGCCCTTAAGCATGGCAGCGGCCACTCTGGGGCAACCGACCGTGAAAGCCCGACCGGACGCCAAGCGGGGGCACTTGGCTGCGGTCGTCTCCATGGCGGACGGCGCGCCGCGAGGCGCGCGGCGGCGCCTGCTCGCTAGCCTCGAACGAACCGGCAACTAGCGTCAAGAGGGGCGCTTCAGACGCACTGGCCGCCGGCGGCAGAGGGCGCACCACCTCGGGCCGCTGCGCGGCAGACTCGAGAAATCCAACGTTTGCTGCTGCTGAGGAGGAGGAGGAGGGGAAGGAGGAGAAGGGGCGGCAGCAGGAGGAGGACAGCAGCAGGAGGTGGAGAAGGAGCAGGTGCAGAAGCAAGATGACGAAAATCAAAAAGATCCGGTTCTCCGCGGCAGTGCGCAGGAGAGGTAAAGTAACGGGGCCGGCGAGCGCGCGTTCCCCCCGCGCAGACCAGCCTCGGGCGAATCGGCAACTGGCTGCCAAGGGAGGCTGCGCAGAAAAAGTAAAGCAACGCGGCCCGCGCGCGCGTGCGCCCCTGGGCAGGCCAGCCTCGGGCGAACCGGCAACTGGCTGCCAGGGACACTGCGCAGGGAAGCAAAGTGGCTGAGCCGGCGGGCGCGCGAGCGCCCCCGGGCAGACCAGCCTCGGACGAAGCCGGCAATGGGCTGCCCAGGACACTGCGCAGGAAAGGGAAATGACCGGGCCAGCGCGCGCGCGCCCGCGCTCCCCCGGCAGGCCAGCCTCGGGCGGACCGGCAACCGGCTGCCTGGGGAGCTGCGCAGAAAAAGTAAAGCAACGCGGCCCGCGCGCGCGTGCGCCCCTGGGCAGGCCAGCCTCGGGCGAACCGGCAACTGGCTGCCAGTGACACTGCGCAGGGAAGCAAAGTGGCTGAGCCGGCGGGCGCGCGAGCGCCCCCGGGCAGACCAGCCTCGGACGAAGCCGGCAATGGGCTGCCCAGGACACTGCGCAGAAAAGGGAAATGACCGGGCCAGCGCGCGCGCGCCCGCGCCCGCGCTCCCCCGGCAGGCCAGCCTCGGGCGGACCGGCAACCGGCTGCCTGGGGAGCTGCGCAGAAAAAGAAAGTAACCGGGCCGGCCCGCGCAGCGCTGCCAGGTAGGCCGCCCTCGGACGAACCGGCAACTGGCCGGGTCGGCGGGGGCGCCCCCTCGGCGGGCCGGCCGCGGACGAGCCGCAGTCAGGTTGCCGCGGACGTTGCTGAGAGAGTTGGCCCGGCCAATGCGCGCGCCCCATGGGCAGGCCATCGCCCGGCATACCCTTCGGGCCGTCGGGCGCCCGTTGATCAAGGAAAAGCGTCGCCGCTGAGGCGCAGACGCACAACGGCCGCCTGCGCGTCGCCGTCGTCCAGCAGGCTGGACCACGGGCGCTTGCGGAACGAAGTGATCGCCCAGCCGCCCCTTGCCCTTGGCGCGGCGGGCGGGCCTGCTGCGTCTGCGCCCGCGGCGCCATCAACCGCCGCGCCGGGCGGTCCCGCTGCGCCCGCGCCCGCGGCGCCATCACCTGCCGCGGCGGGCGGGCCCGGTGGGGCCGCGCCTGCGGCGCTGGCAGCGGCCGCGTCATCCGGCGCGCCCTCCGCGTCCTTCTTCTCATGAGGCGGCTGCGGGCCAGGTCGTCCACGGCATCGACCAGCGCGTTGCGCGGGCTCGCGAACTCCGCCTTGTGCTTGCGGAAGAAATTCTTCAGCAACTTCCGGGCGTCCGAGGTGGTCATGTACCCATCGCCGTCGGGGCGCGGCAGCGACAGGACCGCCCTCTGGAGCTTCGCGAGGGGGGCCAGGCCGGCGATGGGATCTCCTGTTGGCGCCCGCGGTTCACCGGGTTGGTCGAGCGGCCACGCGGCGTCGCAGTGGACGAAGTACCCGTGCCACAAGTGCATCTGGTGGCGCCACGTGTGCACCGCGTGTGCCAGATCGCAAATCGACATGGCGACCGATGCTGGCTTGCGCGCAACGACGGGCTGCGGGGGGCGATCGCAGGCGCCAGCCTCGGGCGGGCCGACCCCCGGCGGAGGGGGGCCGTGAATGCCGCCCCGCTTGTGCTCGACGTACTGCCTCATCCTCATGCACGCGTTCGAGTACCGGGCCAAGTCGGTGTCGGCCCAACGGAGCTTCTCCACGAACTGTTCGTTCAGGGGGGGGTCTCTGTCTTCCGCCAGGAAGTCTGACACGGCCTCTAAAATCTCCATGAGCATAGTGCGAGCGAACCCATCAAAATAATGGTCCCTCTCGTCGTCGTCCGCCACCTGCCCCAGCCAGTCGAAGAAGCCCGCCAAGAATGCCTTCGACTCCGACGAGCGCTGCGTTGGCGCCCACTCCGCCGGGGCCGTCTGCCAGACCTGCCGCGGGAGAGGGGATGGGGGGGGCACGGACGTCGGATCCCGCGAGGGGGCGAGGGGGGGGGGGGCGGGCAGGAGGAGGAAGAAGTTGGAGCGGGGCCGTGGGGCGCGAAATTCATGGCAGCCCATTTCGACCCCCCGCGAGGCCACGTGGAAGCGCTTCGTGAAGCCGAGCCCTTCTGGCTTCAGCACCTGCTCGACCGGGGCGAGCTGTCCGAACACCTGGTGGACGAAGGCGTAATCGTTGAGCACCGTGCGGCCCTGTCCCGTCGAGACGACATCTCTCTCGCAATTGAGCCACGTGCACAGCTTGTCCTTGTCGGCGGGGTGCAGGCCGGGATTCGTGCGCGCGCGCACTGCGTAGGTGGTGGCCACCTCGTCGCTCACGATCCCCGCGCGCTGGTAATTGGCGATGGAGGTGCGGATGCCCTTCACCGTGGCGTCGGTGGAAACGGCGTCGCCCGAGCGCAGGACTTCGGGGGCGCCATCGCCGGCCAGGAGAGTCTTGCTCGTGTACTCCTTCAAGGAGGATTTCCTCATGCTGGGGCCACCTGCCACGAAAATCTGCACCACGGCGGCGCGGCCGTGCGCTTCGTCGTCGCGAACGTGGAGCTTGAGGCCCGGCCGCTCGCACCAACCGATATTGGACAACACGGGCGCCATCACTGTCTCGGCGCGCCAGCCCTCGCTGCGCGCCGCGGTGCGCGTGGCCAGGACGAACGGCAAGGGCATCTGCAAACGGATGCCCCCCATGGTCGGGTCCCCAGCGATCGCGCGGTGCGTGCGAGTATCCGCGGCAATCTCCGTCAACCAGGCAGGCACTGCTCTGCGGAGAGCCGCCGCTGTCTCCATCCCGCGGAAGAGCGCGCCGTCGTGCATGAGCAGGGTGATGTCGTCGGACGCGTGCGCGGCCAGGTCATCCTGTCGGGGCGCTGCAACCCCCGCCCTCCACGGAGCAGCGCTGTCGGCGCACAGCCCCCGCTCCCTCAAATGCCGCGCAGCGGCCCCGGGGCCGTCGCGGCACCCGACGCAGGGAGGGGCGGGGGGGGGGGGCCATCGGCGGCAGCGCTACCCGTGAAGGGGGATGTCCCGCGCCAACCGGGGCCTGCCACGAGCGCAGCGGATCTGGCAGCGCCGCGCGATCCGCCGCCGCTCTGGACATGTCACGGAAGGACGCCCCCAGCGAGGCGATGTGCTGCACCGGCGCGGCAGACCTGCCTGATGACGAATATATTGATCTCTCTTGGTGTCTCTCTCTCTCTCTCTCTCTCTCTCTCTCTCTCTCCCAACGTCTGTCTGGCTCCCCATCCCTCTGGAGCCTTGCTCCTGCGTTGGAGACGGCGCCGAGCTCGGCGGGGAAAGCTGCGTGGCAGGCGGCTCGCCGCCGCTCGGGGACGCTGGCGCGGGGGGCGCGGGCGGTCGCGGCGTCGCCGGCTGTTGCGGCGACGCCGACGACTGCGCGCCAGACGGCCGCGCTGGCGACTGCGGCGGCCGAAAGAAAACGCTGGGCTCTGGCGCGTGCGACTCGCCCCCTGGGGACGGGGGCCAGGACGGCGCGGGGCCGTCGGGGCTGCCGGCGCGCTGCTCGTCGAAAAGGCTGTTCTCGGCAAGCTGCAAGCCCAGCTGCGTGGTCCGGCACTGGGGGCAAGGGAAGTTCTCGACGAGCGAAATCCCTTTGGACATCATGGCACGCTTCACGCAATCGGCGTGGTAAGTGTGGCCGCAAGCCAACGACTGTGCGGGGTCCCCGGGGTCGTTGGGGTGGATGGTGTCCAAGCAGATGCGACACTCTGGGGCCATCGGTCGCCGTCGGGGTGGATAAGGAATCGCCACCGAGGAGAGCCCCCAGGCAAACTGGCCTCGGACGGGCCGGCAACTGACCGCCAACGACAAAACCGAACAGCTTGTTTCAGAATGGCGACGGAAAATATGGGGGAACAGGAGGACGATGAGGAGGACGGAAAAGGGGCCATTGACCTGGAGAGGGGGGGCGGGGAAGGCGCTGCACTAGTTCGCGACCCCCCGGGAGAGGTGGAGGCTGGAGGCTAGGAGGCTAGGGGGCTAGGAGGACGAGGGACGGGGAGGCCACCCAGACCGAATTGTTCCAAAATGTATCCTTCGGCGGCGTTGGCTGTCTGAGCGCCTGGGGCGGGGCCCCGCGGCCCCAGAATGGCCCCAGGATAGCCCCGAAGGCCGAAGATAATCCCAAAATGGTTCTAAGGGTCCATGATGGTCCTGGCATGGCCCCTCGGCCCAGGGGCTCCCATGATGACCCTTGGAGAGCCGCAATATCGCGCAAGGAACACCCCAATATGTCCCCCAAATGTTGCTCATGGGGCCATATCGGGGTTCACGCTACCAAAGCTAAGATCCCTCGCAAATTACGCCGTGCCGCAATCCTGATAAGTTAGGGCTGCGTCTGCGGTCCCAGGGCCACGACCCCCCGTAAATTACACTGGCTCCGCGCTCCCAGGGCCAAGATCCCTCGTAAATTACGCTGGGTTCGCGCTTCCAGCGCCAGGATCCCTTGTGAAATACGCTGGAACCTTGTAAATTACGCTGTCCGCGCCCGCAGGGCCGATTCCTGAAGTCGCAAGTATTCCGAGACACTGCTCTCTCTCTCTCTCTCTCTCTCTCTCTCTCTCTAGTCTCGGCTCGAGAGTGC